GTCCTCTCTGTGCAGAAAACCCAAACCCTGACCCCCTAACTTAGCTCGAAACTCCTGCACCAAAACACCAAACCTTTGGGTTTAGGGTTGAGGGTTTAGGGTTTAGGGTTTAGGGTTTAGGGTCAAGGGCGGTTTGTGGTTTGTTGGGTTTAGGCTGAATCAGGGCTTTGGGGGTGGGTAGGTGGGGCTTCAGGGAAGAAAATTGTGGGTGCTTCGAGATTAACCATGAGCAGTTTGCACAAAGGGAGCCAACAAAAAACAATCAGCTAGCAAAAAACACATTAAAGACTGCCCCTCTTCAAAACAACTTGAATACGCACAAAAGAAACACATTACAGACTCCCACCTGGCTAGGCAGGACTCCACCTTGGGGCTTTCTGGCATTGTGGCTTGGGGTTTAAGGCCGACTTTGGGGTGGTTTAAAGTGAGCCTCCATGTGCCTTGTGTCCAGGACTTCAGCATTTACCCCATCTTGCTGCTCTTGTTGGCCGGCTTGTCGTTTTCAGCAACCAAGGTATCGAAGCAAAACGAGATGCCCCAAACCCAAAACCCAAAACCCTGACGACAAGAGGGCCCCGGGTTGGTTTCTTTGGGGACCATAGATCTATAAAGTGGTCAACAGTTAGTATAACCCGAGTGAGGGGTACGTATCTACGACTGATTACGACTGTCGCAACTAAACCCTAAACCCTCAATCTAAGGGTTAAGGGTTTAACGGCTCGGGGGTTTAGGGTTTAGGGTGTAGTGATTGATTAGGGTGTAGGGTTTAGGCGTTCAGGGTTTGGAGTCGTGGCCTAAACCCTAAACCCTAAACCCTAAACCCTAAACCCTAAACCCTGAGCCCTAAACCCTAAACCCTAAACCCTAAACCCCAAGGCAGAACCAGCGACAGCCGCCGCACAGACATCAGCAACGGGTCGTACACCAGCAGCCGCCGACTGAGCCGCAGCAGCGCAGCAAGAAAGGGAAGGAGAAGCCGAATCTCGGTCTGCATTTGTTTTTTTTTTTGGTTTAGGGTTTAGGGTTTAGGGTTTAGAGCCGAATCTCAGTCTCTATTTTGGGTTTTTGTTTATGGTTTAGGGTTTAGGGTTTAGGGTTTAGGGTTTAGAGCCGAATCTCAGTCTCCATTTTGGGTTTTTTTCTGGTGCTGCAGGCTTAAAAAGATATCGCTAAGGGTTTTTAGGGTTTATGGGCTAAGGGTTTGGGCGCCGAGGTGTTGAGCGAAAGTTTTTGTTGCGGGACCTGATTTCAAACTTGGGGCCGGAGTTGGGGTTGGCGCAGGCTGGGTGCCGGTTATGCCGGGGCAGCTGGATCTGGCGCTAGGGCTGCGGGCTGGTTGCCCGAAAGTTAGGAGGTGAAGAACAGCATGCAATTTCTATTTATTTCTTTCTGGGCGCTTTTGGCCAAGAATCTGGTTGAGGATTCATTGCCTTGGGAGCTGGCAACGGTGCGATGTCCTACTGCCCGAATTGCGGACCACTCACAAGTAGCCTTACCTAGACTCTTCTGTAGTTCCCTTATTGAGAACTTACCTAATTTGTTTAATGTCGGAATCTAAACGCCAAATCCACGTTGTTCATCAAACACGGACAGTGCAGAGGACAGGAAGTGACTTTTTGAGTTTTGTGCTGCTGAACCCGAGCCTGCTTGCCACAGAAGCTAACGACCTTTCACCCTAAAAGCCAAACCCTTGTAACCTTAAGCCCGAAACCTGCACGCTGCCGGTAAGATCCTCGCTGAACCCAGGCAGGCACCAAACATGAGAAAGGGGCCTGATTTCCTAAAACCCTAAAGTCGTAAACCTCATACCCTAAAACGCCAAAGCCTACACCAAAGCCACTACGACCATGAATCTCTGTCTATCCAAAGAGATACTTGTTCGTGTAATATGTATGTATGTATATATATATATATGTATATATATATATATACATAGATATGTACATAGAGCATTATATTTCTATGCATATGGATATAAATGTGCGTATGGAGAGTGGGGGCATGTATATAGATGCCTGTATTTGTAAAATGAGCACACGTGTATCTTATATTATCTGCATGTGCACTGATTTGTTTGTTTATGTCTACACTTGTTTATTATGCACGCACGCACACAGAGAGATACACTCACGTACACATACGCACGCACACACCAGAGGATATTTCCGTGGACTCGGCTAAAAGGTTTAGGGTTTATCTGCATTCGGGATCTGGTAAGGGGATTGATGCTTCGGGATTGTTTTTTATTGCATAGGACCGCAGAAATAGGTGCATAGTTTTGTTGTTTGCAGTGTTGATTGCTTCGTTTGTTTTTTCGCATGTCCCTAAACCCTATATAAGCCTTAAACCCTTTACCCCTGCACATGTCTACATGAATCTTTGGTGTCGGTGGGGAAAGTGCTATTAGTAGGTTGAGTCTTCTTGGATGTCTCGTTGTCTTTGAGCTCCACTGATTCAGTTCGTTTCATTTCAGTCAGACCTCGAACCATATGCCTCGCCTGGAGTGTCCGAGCGTGAGCGTCGTCAACCCTAAACCCTAGCCTTTAATGGGCAAGCTTCTAAATCTGCGGATCGAAAGAGGGCTACTGCAATTTTAAAAAGACCCTAGACCCTAAGCCCAGGGCTACTGCAATTTAAAAAAAAAGACCCTAGACCCTAAACCCCAAACGTTAGTTATCGGGATTTCATGGTCGGGGGGCTCCCTCCGAAAAGCTCTAGGGTTTTTTTCTTTGCACCAGGTTCCATCTCGAACTACCCCATATTTCGGTGCAGGATCTCTGTAAGCTCTGGTTTAGGGTTTATAGGGTTTAGGGTAGGGTCTCTATGTTCGGGCTTATAATAGCTCAGGCTGCTGGTACAATGGGGTTTGGGCTGGTATTTCATAGGCTGCAGGGTTCGGAGATCGGGCGTTGGGCTTTGGGGTGAGTGTGTCCGATGTCAGATTCACAATGACGTGACTTGGGGTTCAGGGCTGGGCGCCCCCCTCTCGGTATACTACAAGGGTTGAGGGTTTAGGGTACTCAAAACCGTATTCCAATGGTAAAGGCTCTAAGCTACGTACATCATTGAACCTTTGTCTCTGACACGTCCAAAATCTTCCAGCCCTGATCCCGAAAATGGGCCACTAATTTCGGGCACCCCGCTTCACCATCAAGTACAACTATCTAAACACTATCGAAAGCCCTATAACATGCAAAGGACCAACTCTCATGAACTTCCATGGTGCCTGTTTAAAAGCCAACTTTGAAAAAGCTAAGCCGTGAAGCCACAAAAACCTGAACTCTAAACCCCGCAAAACACCTCGCTAGTAGCATAGACCTCAGCCATGCGAGAGGGGAAAAAACCCGCAAAACCCCGCGTAGAATCATAAGAAGCCCTCGCCAAAACCAATACAACCCTCCTAGAACCATAAAGCACCATCATAAAGCCCATACACTCTTATCGAACCCATAAAAAACCTTCATAAAGCGCCTAAAACATCGCAAGGAATGGCTCGCGGAGTCCACTGGGCGAGCCTCTGAGCGAGGATGCCGTGCAACTCTTGACCTCGCACCTCATGGCCCAGGCTTTTCAGGGGTTCCTGAAACCCTATAGGGTTTAGGGTTTAGGGTTTAGGGGTTCAGGGATTAGGGTTCCATTTAAGGGGATCCTTTTTGAGTGGTTTGGGTTTCCTTTCAGGGTTTAGGGTTTAGGGTTGCCTTAAGGTTCTGTTCAGGGTTTCGAGTTCCTTTCAGGGTTTAGAGTTTAGGGTTCCTTTACGAGGGTTCCTTTTTCAGGCGTTCCTTTACGGGGTTCTTTTTTCAGGGGTTCCTTTCAGGGTTAAGGTCTAGGGTTTAGGATTCCTTTACGAGGGTTCCCTCAAGAGGGTTCCTTTAAGAACTTTAAGGGTTTAGGGTTTGGGGGTTACTTTAAGGGCCTTTAAGGGTTTCCTTTAAAAGGGGTTCCTTTCGGGGTTAAGGGTTCCTTTCAGATGCTCCTTTAAACGGGTTCCTTTCAGGGTTTAGGGCTTGGGGCTCCTTTTAAGGAAGTCCTTTAAAAGGGTTCCTATAAGGCATTGCTGTTGAAGGGGTTCCTTTCAGGGTTTCGAGTTTTGGGGTTCCTTTAAGGGCTCCCTTAAGAGAAAGGGTTCTTTTTAAAGCGTTCCTTTGAAGGTTCCTAAACCCTTAACCCTAAACCCTAAACCCTAAACCCTAATCCTTTCAGAGTTCCTTTCCGGCGTTTATGCCGTTCCCACATGTATTTTAGGGTTTGTACTTTACCTTTTCGGCATTCTTATTGCGATTTTACGCCACGGGACTCGTCCGGTGGGGGTGTCTAGATGAGCGTGGGGTTGTAAAGTTCCATTTTCCGTCAAGTAGGTGCCTAGCTTGTGGGTACTTTGCAAAACCTAGACCGCAAAATGTCTGTAAACCCCAACCCTGACCACGAATTCTCCGCGGTTTCGTGAAGTTGAGCATATCAGGAATTGTAGGTTTACCCGAAGCCCTAAACCCTGATCAAAAAAGGAACAGGGGTGTCAACAGGTGGAGCTTGTGGTTCCTTCAAGTTTCCTTGAAAGGGCTACCGAAGCAGTCCTTCAAGAGTTCATGTGTACATCAGCAAACATGCCCCCCTTCAAGCCTTACCCCAAACCCTGCTAACAAAAACCTCCAATCCGAAGCCTAATCCGCAAAATTCCGACGGGCCCTAGGGTGCGACCGATGTGCAACGTGAACCGAAGTTTGCGCCATAATGCGCGTGTGCAAAACTTCGCCATCGCTTCTCCAATACAAGGTTTCGAGCACCACACGCCGTTGAACTGACATGAACAGTGAATAAATACCGTATGCCTTCGGCATCAAGCTTAAATTCTACATCCGATATAAGCCTCACACCCTCACATTTCGCACCCTCATCACAGGTGTTGAGCCAACGCGTGCCACTGGAAGAGGGGAGAAGCGTCCAGCTTTCGCTTCCAGTCCCACGGCAATTCAGTCCTTAGTCGGGGTTTAATATGGGAGTTTCCGAAAATTAGGGGTACCTTATTTTGGGGCCCTTATACTAAGGATCCTACTATTTGGGGTGCTATATTAGGGTCCCCTATTTTTGGAAACCCCCATATGGAGTTCGGAAAGATCATCAATGCCATTTCTCATGACACTATATGATATACCCCAAAACCCTAATAAATGCTATTACTTGTGAGACTGTAATATACCCCCCCAAACCCTACTCTAAATGTCCAGGCCCCTATATTAGCTCCCTGGGTTGAGAGCGTTGATGCTTGTAAGGTGTTGGACTCTAGGGTTTACGGTGCAAAGGACTCAGGGCTACGATGTACAACTAAACCCTGCAGGCTTCAATCTGAAGCGCTTCGGAATGCAGATGCTTGAGACTTCAGGTGGGCGAAACGGATTACGGCGGAAAAAAAAGCTCTAGCAGTTCGCCTTGTTGGGTTGAGTTTTTGTGTTTGTTGTCTTGTTGGGTTTGAAGCAGAGGGGCTTACTAATCCAGGGCCTACATGGTGCCGCTTGGCATGTGGGGCTGTGGGATTGTTCGACCCCCCTAAACCCTAAACCCAATATCTTTTCACTGCTCCGGTGGGTGATCGATATCTCCGAGGCCCGCGCAGACAAAAAATGAATGAAAGGTATAGCGACATCTACCTTCTCAACCTAGCATCCTGCAACATAAACCCATAAAAAAGATCCTAAACCCTAAACCCAAAACAAGCCCTAAACCATAAACCATACAATGGACCGCAAGCCCTAAAATAGCCTCCTCAGGACTGGCTGGATGAAGTGCCGCAAAGTGCCTCGGGCTCTCAGGAAGCATTGTCTCTGATTCAAGCTTTCGAACAGTAGGGCTGAGGGTTGACGGCTGAAGGGCTTCAGGTGTAGGGGTTTTGGGATTGGGTCTTAGGGTGTGGCTCCCAGCTGACTGAACAGGCTCCGAGATCGAACCCTAAAAACCCTTAAACCCCTAAACCCTAAACCCTGAACCCCAAGCCCTAACCCCCCTAACCCTAAACCCCTAAACCCTCAACCCTAAACCCCAAACCCTAACTCCCCTAAACCCCTGAACCCGAAACCCTAACCCCTTCAAACCCCTAAACCCCAAACGCTTTGAGTTCACTTCTCGCTTCTCACTTCCACCGCTCTGCGAGCCTTCTCTGAGAAAGATCCCCAAATCGAGAGGACCCTGGTTTTACGGTTTAGGGTTTAGGGTTTAGGGTTCAGGGTTTAGGGTTTAGGGTTTAGGGTTTAGGGTTTTTCGGGGTTTTGCAACCGGGTTGTCATATACTATAATAATATATGCTTATATACGATATGTTACTATAAAATACTTAGTATAACTATAATATACTATAATATCCTTTAGTATTACTAGAGTATACGATATTATGCCTAAACAGACTAGAGCTCTATTTACATTTAAATATATATATATATATATAGAGAGAGAGAGAGAGAGAGAAAGGGAGAGAGATAGAGCTCTAGTCTGTATATATATATATATACACACACACACACTATTTACCTCTTACGAGGCTGGTTGCCAACACTCGCTATTGCACTATTGGGTGCCGACACTCCGTCTACAAAACACATCAGGCAAGTCGTAAAGCTGGCCTTTTCAAACCAATCCTCCAGGAACATAAGCGTCGGGAGATCAACTGTGGCAGAGTAGCGGAGCCGCCCAGAGTGCTTCTTTGCAAGGTAGCGGCGTCACCATCAGTGCGGAGCGTCGCACCGGGGTGAATCGTGCACTGCGGCACTTGAGCAACAAGTTGCCCGGGTGCTGCTGGACCGTGGGACAGACCCGGGAGGAGCGCCTTGAGTTTTACCTTTTCGGGGATAGGCTGTATGTAGGGTTTACACGTTTTGGGTTAGGGTCCATTTACTACGAGCGTTCATAACGGGGTCTACTATCTATTCGGGTGTAGATTTAGAGTCCAGTATCCATTTTGGCTTAGGGCTTAGGATCCATGAGCTGTTAGGGTTTTGGGCTTAGAGTCTATTTTCTATTGGGGTTTTCCTAGGGTTTCCCGTTTGGTCTTGAGGAGCTAGCAGATCGCTGAACCCGCCTCACTAAAGGTCTTCCTTGCTTGGGATAGGCTCTCACCGAAAACACCGGGCAGCTCGAAAATCCAGGGATCCAAAAAGTAGATCCCTTAAGGGGGTTTAGGGTTTAGGGTTTAGGGTTTAGGGATTAGGGTTTAAGGGGGTTCCAATAAAGTACCCCTTAGTAGTATAGGGTCCCAAATTAGGGGATCCACTTTCTAGATACTTCCGGGTGTCTGGGATAGGCGCTATTGGTCGACTCTAGATCCCAAAGTAGGCATAGACTCTCACAGAACCTTTATTGATTCTGCAGGCGAATCCGTAAAGGAATCGCAAAGCCTACCTGTCAGGGTTATAGGGCGTAGGGGAAGCGCTAAACCCTAACCAAACCCTGAACCCTAAACCCTATAACCCGAAACTATAACCCTATAACCCTATAACCCTGAACCCTGAACCCTAAAACCCTAGAGCCCTAAACCCTAAACACTATAACCCTATAACCCTGAACCCTAAACCCTATAAGCCCTAAACCCTAAACCCCAAACCCTATAACCCTAAAACCCTAAAACCCTAAAACCCTCAACCCTAAACCCCTAGACCCTTTAAGCCCGAAGCCCTATAACCCCTACAAGCCTAAACCCTATAAGCCCTATAACCCTCAACCCTAAACCCTATAACCCCTATAACCCTCCTCCCTAAACCCTAAACCCTATACACGCTATAACCCTAAACCCTATACACGCTATAACCCTCCTCCCTAAACATGCAGGAGATCCACGTCTTCTTGGCTGACGCGGCGCGCTTCTCGAAGTGGTTCGAGGGCGGAACCTGAGGCTGCCAGCCTGGTCCTCCACCCTAAAACCCCAAAGCCCTAAACCCTAAACCCTAAAACTTAGACAGCCCATGGGAGAACTTTAAACTTTTTGGCTTTATATATCAGGTCTATCCTTCAAGGTTTGAACTTTTTTGGCCTGGTTGTTGAAGAAGGGTTTAGGGTTTAGGGTTTACCTTAAGAACCCAGAACCCACCTTTTTTGTAGGTTCTTATTATAAACCCTAATATGGGATTTATAGGGACCCTACAAAAAAGTAGGCTTTGGGTTCTTAAGGAAGACCCCAAACCTCAGACCCCAAACCCTAAGGGGTTTAGGGTTTAGGGCTTTTGCGGGTTAGGTGTTGAGGGTTTAGGGGTTTAGGGTTCAGGGGTTTAGGGGTTTGGGGTTTGGGGGTGCAGGATTTGGTAAGCCGCAGACCCCAAACCCAAAGCCCCAAACCCTAGCCGATGTTCCTTCTGAAATCCAGGAGGTGTGCTGGCAGAATAGTCTCGAAGACAATCGAGGGAGCCCCGGGGCTTCTTAGGGTTTAGGGTTTAGGGTTTAGGGTTTAGCGTTTAGGGTGGGCGTCTAGGGGTTTAGAGTTGAGTATAGGGGTTTAGAGTTCAGGCCTTTCGGGTTTTGATACGGGCTTAAAGTGGGTGAGGGCATTGTAACGGTAGTATGAGGGTTTCATAGATTTTTACGGTGCGCTTCAAGAGGCTGAGGGACTTAGTAGGTGGAATAGACTTGCATTGTAGAAGCACCCCAGTTCGGGTTATCCCATGTGCAACCCTGGACCCCTAAACCCTGGACACCATCGACTTACCAAGCCCCCATGAGCTTCCAGGTATAAACTCTCAGGAGTGGAGGTCTACAAATTGCTGGAGCCCTAAACCCTAAACCCCTACACCCCTATACCCTAAATCCTACACTGGTGTGTTCGAGCTATTAGGTTGAAGTCTGGGGGTTCTTGGGGGTTTGAGGCTTGAGGCTTTAGTGGATGCGCGCTTCGGCCCCAAACCATAAGCGCGAATCCGACACCCTACCGCGCCCCAAGCCCTATGCACCCGAAGCCCGACGGCAAACTCCAATTCGTACGCCCTAATTAAACCTTAAGCCCCCGAAATCCTACAATCTCCGAGTCCGCAACCTTATGGGGCTTCCTCGGACCTTTCAACAGCAATGCGGCAAGAATTGATCCGAGGATCATTTGGGCCTTGCCAAACGATGCGTCGGTTTAAGGTTTGAGTTTATGGTTTAACTAGGGGTTTAGGGTTTAGGGTTTTCAGTTTTCGGGGTTTAGGGCTTAAGAAGTGTTAGGGATTAGACTAGAGAGGCATGCGGCTTGAAGCTGTTAGGCGTGCATAGTTCGGCCCCCATATAGATGTCTGAATGAAAACTAGCAATAATAACGACACACCAAGCCTGCACCCTCGTTTTACGAATCCTAAGCCCGAGTAACCCCGTTCCAAGGCACCAGCTCTCCTAAAAAGCACCGTGTAGCTCATCCGGAAGTTCCGCAACTTTCTTGCCACTCTTGGCAAGACCAAAGAAAGCCGCATAAATTCTGCGACCTCAAGAACGCCGTCTCGTTTCCGACTTCTTCGTTACTTTGGGGCGATGCACAGTACCCACTGACGTCTGAGTGTTACTCAACCCCTAACCGTCTTAAACCCAAGCCCTAAATCCCAGTCGCGGGCAAGGAAGCTAAAGATTGGTATCACGCGGACCCTCGACTATGGATCCTCGCCTGGCTTGCCCGAGTTGTGACAGCGTAAATCCCAACTCTTCTGTTTCGGGAGCTCCTAACTTAACCTGGGCAGTATTAGGGAGCCCCCTTAAAGGAGGGGATCCTTCTTAACCCTACTTATGTAACTTATGGCTCTCTGACAAAGGGACCTTATTGAGAAGGTCTATCTCCCAAGGGTCCCCCTAATCCTAACTCCTGACTTAGTCAGTAATGAAGTCCACCAGAGTCCAGTTTCTCACCACCTACAATCCCCGTGCCCCTGCACAGCCATGTGGGGCTTAGGATTTTACGTTTCAGGCTTGAGGGCTCTTAAGGCTTCGGTCTTAGAGCTACGGTTTAGGGTTTAGGGCTCATAGGGTTTAGGGTGTGTGGGGCTTATAGGGTTTATGGGATTTTTTGGGTTTTAGGGTTTAGGGCCTTTTCGGGTTTAGAGATTTTTTGGGGTTTAGGGACTCGGGTTTGTAGGGTGTATAGAGGTCTCCAGTCGCCGAGACAGCGGCCCTAGTCATCTCTGAAGCCGTGAGCCGGACACCCTGCCCCAGACGGCGGTCGACCTAGAGTCTCCATTGTAGTTCCTTTTGCTTTTGCGGTCGACCTCTAGTCTCCATTGTAGTTCCTTTTCTTTTGCGGTCGACCTCCAGTCTCCGTTGTAGTTCCTTTTCTTTTGCGGTCGACCTCTAGTCTCCCTTGTAGTTCCTTTTCTTTTGCGGTCTGGCTATAGTCTCCGTTGTAGTTCCCTTTCTTTCGCGGTCGACCTATAGTCTCCGTTGTAGTTCCTTTTCCTTTGCGGTCGACCTATAGTCTCCGTTGTAGTTCTTTTGCGGTCTACCTATAATCTCCATTGTAGTTCCTGTTTTTGGTTTAACCAACTGTATATTTTGGATCCTATGTCACCATTATAGTTCTTTGCTGTTTTAACCAACTGTAGATTTAGGATCCTAAAAGGTAACCCCAAAAAGGTACTACAGTGAGACTATAGGTAGGGTTCAGCTTTTTAGGACGTAGGGTCGAACACGACATTCCTGGACTTTAAGATCTTCCAGACTTAAACCCGGTACAAAGGCCCTGTAAGCCCCAGACAGCCCAAGTAAGCGAACTTCGAGGCAGACCGTTCGTGAGGTCCCAACTCACCTGGAAGCTTCTGGAAGCCATGTGTTTTTGCCATTGCATTGCTGTTCCTCAAAAATCAAGCAGTCAGCATCAGACTTCAAGCATGCAAATCTTGCAGTCCCAGTCGTTGTCGTCCGTGTCGGCATCCACGTCCTCCTCGTCGTTAGCGATCTCGTCGTCGTCGTCGTCGTCCAGCGTCCCGTATTGCAACTCAGAGGACGTTTGAGTAGTGCCGGTCAGTATTATGTTATTTTTGTAGTCACTACGATTACCATGGTTGAGGTGCAGTGATAACTGTGGACATGCTGGTTTCATTGGTGTTGTTGCTGCTGCTGATGGTTACGTTTATGTTGTTGTTGCTGTTGCTGTGGTTACAAGTTGCTATGGCTTGTCCTCGTAACAACAGTCGTCGGCACCATAATCTTTCACAATCAAAATGATCTCCGCCACCCTTAGTGGCAGTATCGTTGTTCCCGGCCTCGTCACTATCAGCCTCCCATCTACTCTTAGCATGGCGGCTTCTGGCGTTGAGAATTTCTCACCTCGGCCATACTGTAGAGGTGCGGCACAGACGAGGCAAAGCTCAGTCGCCAACTGCAAAAAAAGCAGACGATTCCGGTGAGCTTGTTGGGTTTTAGCACAGTCGCGGGGAGGTGCAGAAACAGAATTTTTGTCGGTGGTCTAATCAAAATCGCAGCGTTAGGTACGGGGTGTTTGCTGAGAGCCGACTGTGATCATCTGGTTCTGAGTCCGATGTTCCGATCATCGCACTCGCACCCTAGACCCATAAGCCTGAAGTAAGCCCCAGTCTTCGGCATCAAAACCATCGGGCTGGTAGAGCCTGAGCATGCGCATGACCGTCTTCGCGTGACTTGTGAAGCGTCTTGAATCCAAGTTCCCTGTGAATAGTTGGACACAGAGCACCACAGTCGTCGTAGTGGTCCAGGGGTGGCTGATACTGTACTGTAGTATACTATACTGTACTATCTTCAGTATAGATTTTGGAAAAAGATAGTTTACGGTCTTTTGAGGTGAACCTTTCCCTTCTTTTGTAGCGCAGAAGTCCCAAGCAGACGAAGGCGGTGTAGACA